AAGGATCATGCAAATAGAGTACCAGTCTCTCTACAATATGTGAATCATGTAGATATATGTAGTTGATGCCTTATACTCCGTGTATAGAGTGACCTAAATACTTCGTTGTTCATAGGGTACAGAAACAGGATTAAACTAATTAGCAAATTCTATATGTTTTCTGAAAGACGTGAATGTGAGGGTTGTCTTTCATTCATTTCTACCCAAACTCTACAACCACAACCATACACGTCCTTTTCAAGAAATTTGGTGGATTAAAAGTTTCTAGACAATATGTTTTTTTCTTTTTTATTTCACCTATTTGTAAATATTTGTAGACGAATCAAAAACTTCAGAAAATTGCCAGAACTTTGTGCACTTTTAGAGTATAAGGCAAAAAATTTTGTGTCAAATTTTTTGAAAGCAGCTTTGAAACTTTTAAAGGACTTATCAAATTTGTTCGAACGGTAAATACACAACTTTTTCCTAAGTCGTTTTGTGATGGTGTTTGAACGTGCCGTATTCGATCATAGGCATATTGCCAGCAGCTACTTTCTATGTAAAGATATCTATGAACAAAACATCTATTTTTATTATTTGAAAGCCATAAGTAATACGAAATGTCCAACATTTCGTTTCGAATTTCAATATTGAAAGTATACAAAATGAAAGAATACATTGACTTGAAATTTCGATGCATTCATTAGTATGAATACACTTTTAATGACAGATGCTTCGTTTGATATAGGTATGCTCGAGTGCATTCATCACTTCATCATGGACTACATCCTTATACGGTTATGGACCCAAAGTCAAAAGTTATCTGCAACTTGATCGACCTCTCCTCAGTAAACAGCATCAGATAATGAGCAGCCTTTGTAATGTATCGCAAAGTGTTGTGAACCATCTCGTATCTAACTTTAACGTGACAACATTGGTGAATACACTAGTACTGTCTCGAAGTCTCTTTGTATCACAGGTGAATGTAATCATCAATGAACTAATCAAGCGAACACCACTCGATTTTCGACGATTAGGTCATGCAACCACAGCAACACTTGAAATCAATTTAATTCCGACGGCTTTCAATACTGATTGGTCAATAGAGTATGGAAATGCATCCAATGACTATGTTTTGAGAAATGTCCCAGTCATGTATGCTAATGGCACATGCAATTGCGCTGTTTCTGGCGAATGTCAAGCACCAT